CACACACACACACACACACACACACACACACACACACACACACACACTGAGATGTGACAACCCAAAATATCTGCAGACGTTGCCACATGTCACAAAATCGCCTCCGGTTGAGAACCTCTGCAGCAGAACAAATTCACTAATAACATGTGGCAAGCCCCGACCGCTTGCTAGTCAGGGACAGGCACAATCAGAGAAGAATGAGATAGCATTTTAATGGTAACACCCACACCTGGCAGGATGAAGGGAGAAGGATGCCTTGCTGGGGGAAATAGGAATTTAGAGTCTCGGTGGGAGATCAGTCCAGTGATTTACAGAAGGGACTGAGACACAAAAGCTGAGCAGTGTGGAAGCTGCAAGCCACCCGACAACAAGATTCAGGAGTATCAGGGGCGGGCTCCTCAACCAGCCGGGGCTTCTGGGGCTCAGGGGACCCACTGGCCATTGCATTTTTGTGGGATTGCCTATTTCATGATATTTGAGTTTGTCAGCTTGAAAATCCAAGACTATGATTCCTGAGTCAGAGGAGTACATGGTCCTGTGTTTGGCCAGAGGGTGGGGATGGATTCGACCCCCTCCAGCTGTCCGGCCCCCAGGGAAACACTAAACTATGTGAAGAGGGGGAAATCGTGAACTTGGCAGACAGTATCAACCACAGATGTGGTCCTGCTACCAAGTCCTGAGACATGGGCAGGGGACTTCCCAAGCTGTCTGTGACAGACTCTGAGGTCACACAGTAGAACCTGAACATGAAGCCTGTCATCACCCCGGAGTGAGATTTGGTTTTTCTTTCATTACCTCTCATTCACTCCTGCCCTCACCTTTCATCCCTTTGCTGCCAGCACCTCAAGGCCAACAAATACAGAAAAGGGACCTTCCTGTTTCTCATGTCTTCAAAGACTAGGGGCAAAAAAGGCTTTCCAGAAGGATTTGAGCCCCCAGGGAAGGATCAAGTTCCAAGCAGTGGATCAGCCACCTAGCTCTGGGCCAAATCTCCAACCCCAGGGTCTGGGTCCCCAGCTCAGCCCCTTGCTAGCCAAGTCACCTACAAGCCACTCAGCCTCTCTTAGCCTCAATTTCCCCCTCTGGGAAATGGGATAACATTTCACTGCCTGGTGGGGCTGCTGTGCTGTTTGAGGGACAGGATGGTGCAGGGGTTAGGAGCCCAGGCTACACACTGTGCAATCCAGCATCTCACCCCTACCATGGTGGGAATGCATCCACCAGAAGACATGTATGCGAATGTCCACAGTGGCTCTGTTCATAATAGAAAAGAACTGGAAACATTCTAACTATCCATCAGTTTGAGAACGGGACAATCAATTTGTGATGTTTCCATGCAATGGAAAACAGAGTACTAGACACTGCTAGTCAGGACACGTGGTTTAAAGCTCACTGATACTCTGTTGAAGGAAAGAAGCCAGAAGTAATAATGCAATCAAGAACAGATGCTAATCTAGGGGAAGAACTCCGAACAGCGGTCACCCTTTGGAGGGGAATGGACCGGGAAGAGGGATAAGGGAAATTCATGGGGCACCGGAAATGGTCTAGTTCCTGATCTCAGTGGTGGCTGCACAGGTGTATCCACACATACACACTGGTACACTTAAGATCTGTACACATGACCGTATGTAAATCATCCGTAAAAGAAGAGGAGAAACATAGAACAAAAAGGATCGATGATGGTGCCAGGCCAGCTGGAAACTGGCAAAACGACTGTTTCGGTGTCCTCATCGGAGGACAGTACCAGCGACAGAATACAGTACCACCGACATGGGGCTATCATCAGGATTCTATGCCGAGGTGATGAGAGTAAAATGCTTGACACGGGCCCAGCACACGCCAGCAATTGCTGGTGAGTGTCATCTAAGGCGTCCACTACCCCCCACCCAAGACATCTTCCTGACCTCGTTACTGGGATGAGCCTGAGTCTCCCCTTACCAGTCTGACCACCCCTCAGGGGCTTTACCTGCAAACCAGCCCATGCTTCTCCCTCTCTCAGCTATGATCCACCGTATTTTCCGTTCCTCATATCAACCATCTTTGTACCTCAAGACTCCAGCCTGATATCACCTTATTCTCCCCGCCCCAAACACATGCTCACTGGGGATTTCCAGCTTGGCTGGTTCCTGGCTTCTGGGACAGATCTGGACAGAGCCCCCAGCTGGGGAAGCTGGAGGGAC